GCCTATCAAATCGGTTTCTTCATCCATCAACTCCTTAATTACAGCAAAATGATTATGTTGTGAGAATTTTGCACCATGACCTCTATCGAGAGCCACTAATTTTGCCAAGGATCCTGGGGCAGATTGTGAAGGAGCCAAAACATATGCTGATTGATCTAGGCCTTTGTTTCCCATCAGAGCTTGGTAGTGCTTTGTCAAATTCTATCGCCTTGGCTTATGTTGTTGAACCATCCACGACCCAAAAACCATGTTATTCTCAGCCATGTCCGACTTTAAAGATTGTGTAAGGTTGATCATAGCTTGGGCATTTGAATTCCCCGTAAAGTCTGGCTTTTTTGGATTTTCATAGTGGCATGAGTCTTTTGTGTGACCAAACTCTCCACACTGAAAGTAAATCTTATGCAAACCTTCATACTCCACCAAAATCATAGTTTGGGGTAATTCCTTTAGATTAAATCAAGAGTTAATGGTAACTGTTGACTAAGATCAACTTCCACACATACTCTTGCAAATTTCTCTCTTGTACCCAAGAGGGTTATATTGTCTACTTTGATTGGCCTGCCCAGTTTGCTAGCAAGGTACAAGACAATGGCCTCTTAAAAGCACATTAACGACACTCCATGTAACTTAACCCAGACTGCAGTCTTTGGTGCCTTTGCTCTTGCTGGATGGAAACTCGGCTCCCACGATTGGACTGTTAAGTAGAGATCAAAGAATTTATATGGGCCTCCCATTAAAACCCTTGAGTAATCTTCCTGAGTGGCAAACCGCACAATGAAGTATCCTATGCCAACGTCAATAACTTCATACTCCTGCTCTGTTTTCCATTCTTTCAGTAATTGAGCATGAAGAATGTGAAAATTTATAGATTTCTCAAGGAGCTTAATGATAACTACATTCTTCCACAACACACATAGGTGTTGCCAAATAGCTTTGGCAATCTTCACCTTTGGAACCTTTGCTTTCATTGTATCTACCCCATCCTCAGCCATGGGGAGTTCTACCGCAAGATTTGCTTCAACCAGCTCTTCATATGTCACCATTGATGAGGTTTTAACCACCGAGCTGTCGAGAAGGGTGTCTCAAAATGATTTTAGTGGATTTATGGGGCCAAGGGACTTGTGTTGCAGTTCCTCATCCTTGTTATGCACCTAGATTGATGGTGTTGGTTATGGTTCAATAGGAAGGATTGCCAGTATGTCCAGTGGAAGGGATGGGGTGGGAAGGTTAGGCACCGTTGGAGTCGGATCGGGGTTAGGTGTGGAAAAAAGCATTTTTTTTAAAGGTTATATCTATTATTAATATATATATATATAAAACAAAAGTTAAGTTAAATTTTAATTAATGTTAAATTTTTTGTATAGATTAATATTTGAGAGCTCGAAAACATTAGCAGGTCCTAACGTTTAAAATGTCCATCATAAATTAATAACTATCCATTAAGTGGGTCTTAAGGTAAGATTTATTCAATAGATGGCTGTGATAGACATCATAAACATAAAAACATCTTGAGCGCCAAAATATCTTGATTTTCATATTTCTGTTAATATTTAAAAAAAGGTACATATTAGTTTTGATTTTTAAAATAAATTAGAATTTAAACATTAAATTATGTTTTTTTATTTAATTAAAACTCAATTTAAAATTTAAAAATCTATTTTTATTAAATATTGATATTTAAATTTAGAAATTGATTAGATTAAAATATATAATTGGTTTCCAAATCTATATATTAATATTTATGGCATGTTTAGTATAACAGTTAAAATTCAGCAGATAGCTGATAGCGGATAACGGATAACGGATAGCGGTAACGGGTAGCGGGTACCGGTTAGCGGATAGCGGAAGTGGGTAGCGGGTACCGGTTAGCGGATAGCGGAAGTGGGTAGCGGATGGTAAATAACCGATTCGATAAATATAACTGTTTGGCTATACAATAGTTAGCGACTTTTGTTTAACATTAAATTACTAATAAGGACATGTTTAAAAACAAATAAGTGTATTTTTTAAAATATTTTTATTTTTTATTATTAAAATTATTAATTTTATAAAAATAAAAATAATAAAATAAATAAATAAAATTAA